AAGTGGCGCTGGGGCAAGTTTTCTCCGACTACATCGGTTTCCCCTGCCAATCTTCATTTCACCAATTGCTCCACAATCACCCTCACCTATCATCTGGGGCTGGGACAATAGGCCAGAAGTGGCAACAGTATAAGGGACTTAGTCGCACCCCACTAACATTAAAAAAATAATTACTGTTGTTCCTATGGCTGTTATGAGTACCGTTGTTTCGCTTAGTCCCGCCAGGTAAACGCCAAAATAGTGTCTCAAATGCTGTCACGATCGCTTCCTTACAAACATACTTGTCAGCTTTCGACACTATACATGACATACTGTAAGCGTCGTTAAACAAACCAAAATAAATACAAGCGCCTGAGCATAGTAAGATAAAGTTATATATTAGGCTTGCATAACGGGGGGAGGGTCATGATTCATTTTCCTGCCAATGAAATGGAAATCATGATAGGCTGAACACGTAGCTCGGACGGAGGAGGTAGTAACTCCGCGCACATTATTCTAGAAAGGCAACTTCTTGGTAAGGAGGCAAACGGAAAGGAAGGAGACCACAGAATATCATTAATTTGGATGTTAGGAATCTCGGTTTTGAGAATGGGATGGATTTAACTTGCTCAGTGCAATGTCCAACTTCAGGATTTCCTATCAGCATTGTTGACTCTTTGGTTCTTAAAATAAACCGGCTACTAACAATACACGATGACATATAAGAACGATCACGACTTTAAAGGAATTTCAAGCCCACTCCAACCCCTGCGCAGTTGTTCGCTCCCTCCTTGCCTCCGGACCCCATACTGCTGGCCTCTTCAGCCACCCTTGCACGCTGCTTCCCGTAACAACGCCACGTCTACCGGGGTACATAATTGGCGTGCGTTCTGGAACGTATTGTAGTGAAGGGTCTCTAATCAGTAACAAGCTGCTGAGAAGGGGGAGCAACAAGTGGGGGAGGGGGAGCAACAGTTGGTAGGCGCCCAACCAGTCCGTTGGTTTGCACAACGACGTTAACAAACTATTTTCAAGTTGCATGTCATGATTTACCTCCGTTACTTCTAATTTTTTTTACCTTCACCTAGTTTGCCAGAACCGAGTTATGTCTGAATCACCGAGCCGACAGAGTAAAGCCCTTTACTAACTGTAGGTCAGTTGGACAAGAAACGTCGGTGGGAAGCATCCTGTTGGCCTACGGAATTCTTAAACGCCCAGTCACATGGGCCAGCGGGTCTCAGCCATCCCTCGTGCACGGATCGGTAAACCACCAACAGGTTTTCCTGAGGACCGATCTCCTGCTGTCTCACACTGCACAGTACAGTCTACAAATTTTATTTTCTTAGCGCGTCCAAATATATTCACTTACAATACCAAAATTGGGGCAGATTTGATATCGAGAATACGTGAAGGCAAACCAAAATGAATAGCCACAACTGAAAATCATGGACAAGAACACAGACTTTTGGCTGCTGAAAGAAAACGAAATAAATACCTATTTGTGTAGCTATAACTTCGGTAAAATATACGCTATGTACCTACAAAGTACTTTTTTATTGTTAGTGGGGTGGGACTAAGTCCCTTGTACTGCGGCCACTTCTGGCCTATTGTACCAGCCCCAGATGATAGGTGAGAGTGATTGTGGAGCAATTGGTGGAATGAAAATTGGCAGGGGAAACCAAAGTACTGGGAGAAAACCTGCCCCAGGGCCACTTTGCCCACCAAAAATCGAACCCGGGCCGTCGCGGTGGGAAGCTAGCGACTAACCGCTTGAGCTATGGCGCGGCCTACCTACAAAGTAACTTGAAGTTGTGTATCAATATAAATTAACCCAAGGACCATTGTCGGTCCGCGGATAAAGAATTCGCTACAAAGAGAAAAAACAGTTACCAGCCGACCCTACACTCCTTGAGCAACAAACCTACTGACTACCGACAAAAACTTATGTTGCAAGTGTAGCATAAGGATCTCTGAAACGGAAATTCAACAGAAGTAGATTCAAAGGGTGACTCTCTGAGACGTTAAAGGAAATTCTTAATTTCAAATGGAAGCCGAACAGGCAATGCTGCCTACTCCATGAAATACAGACGAAGAAAATGGGTGGGACAAGAATAAGCTGAAGATCTAACAATATTATTAATAACCTTCACATCACATTCGAAGACCGATATGTCTCAGATTTGTATGTCGCGTGTTGCTGCCCTTAAGACCGTGTTTGTGGACAATTAAACTTACAGCAGAAAGAAGAGGCTTGGACCGCCCTGGACATCACTTCACACACACACACACACACACATACGCACACTCCGAAATTAGCCCGGCATGCAGTATATTACAGTGACGGTGCGCGTACATGGTTTTGGTTATGTTATACAAATAAACTCAATGAAACTGATTACATTAAAAAAATACGTTGTCTGCGAGGTGGGGCAGGCAGGCAGACAGACGATGTGCATCAGCCCTGAGGCTATATGGTTTGCAGACAGAAGCAAGCAACATGTCAGAACCAAATGGTAAGGTTCAGTGATCGCATCCCGATCTCGCCAATCCTCTAGATCTTTGCAAATAATATTGCAATTTTTCAATTACTGCTAAATACGAAAAATTTAAATGTACCACGAAACTTTAAAAAAATATATTTATTGTAAACTTGTAATTATAACAATAAATACGTCCAGTTTTACAAATCTGCCAAATTTTGACCAAAAAACTTTTTTTCCTTTTATGTTTTTTATAAAAACTGGGAGTGGCCTCGACAATACAAGTCAGAGGCTTGTTGGGGCGATGGTATTCATGCCTCCATCTTCAGAGGTGTTAAAGGCGGCCAGTATCTAAATTATGGTCACGTGGACTGTGACGCCGTATAGTTAACTTCTACCCCAAGGTGAAGGCAGCAGGCTCATCTGAAACGCTGGTAACCATTTACCAAACTACACGCGCCACATTGTCTAACCTTAATCACGTCGCGCATGCCCATTAATCAGTCTGTATAATATTTGAAGTACAACACAAAACTTCTATACAGATTTGTGCTATTTTTCGGACAATAACTTCTGTACAAAAAGAGAATTCAAAATTAACGCTCAATGAAGTTTCGATGGACCGGTTTCGACACCCGAGGGGGATGACGCCAACATTACTCGTAACCACAAATTCCGAAACAACCCTTGGAATCGACGTATATGACCTCATATCATCATTGTCCCAGAATCCGTATGAGAATCCAAGCCTACTTCGCTGATATTATAAAAACTGCGAACACTGTAAGGCAGTGAGCCATGTGCGGTACGGTACCTGCGCAGTATCACGTCCTGCCCAGGAAGTCAGCTAACAAAGTTCGCCTTGTGCTGAGCTTCTTGGCAGACTCAAAGTCTCCAGCAGCAGATCAACAAACCCGCTTCTTTATTGCAAGTTCCTGTTATGTGTGTTACCATAAATTTAGTTATTTTAAAATATATGTGCAATATACGTACGAACTCGAGGTAGGAAGGAGCCATGGGGGTTGCTCCTATCTGGATCGCAAAATATAGAAAATACATAACGGATGTCGGTATTCGGCTCTTTCGTCGCTTTGTTCAATACTGTTCAAAACAGCAAATACAACGAAATTCAAAAACTGTCGGCCCTTAAGCAAATTTATTAAATTGGTAAAAATTGGTGTTTTTCTCATACAGATACTTAAAAGGGGGTGTAAAACTGAACTCCAATTCAAGTTAAGACTTTAAAATGACTTAATTACAATGTTCAACACCTCATCTGCTCGAGAGTGCACTTTTTATTTATTTTTTATGAGGGTGAAATTTGAGTGTGCACTTACTGAGGACGCAAATCTATTATTAACTCTACACATAACATACTCGACAGCCATAAAAAACGTCAAATGTTCACCACCAATGAAACACGTTTACCCAAATGAGTTCAATCCTTATACGTCATAAGACAATTTCTGAAGAACATCTATATCGGAGAATAGTTTAAGAACTAGATTTAAGCTTCATGTAAAATGTAAGCCATGTTATAGTAACATAGGCTGAAATCTAGCTGTAAGGGCGGACACCCATCTCCGAAGCTCAAATGTACTGTACAATATACAATAAAGCCAATAGATCGCCGCGACCGGGCGGCAACTTCTTTAGCTCAAGTGCGAAGCAGACAAGTATATACAACAGGCACTAATTTTAAATGAGGGCAGTTTCAAGTACATATCCAGGTAAAGGTTACCATGTGTTAGTTCATTAAGTAATTAAGCACTACTCCATGAAGATGTATGACGGACTGGAGGTACAGCTCCACCATTCTTGACCTCAACAACAGATGGAGGTGAGGGGTCGGCCTTGCGCCCCTGCCGCTCTACTGTCGGGGAAAGAGCCCCCAATACTGCTTGGATAGGAAACTGGGTGGGCCCCAGAGCCGGTCTGGATGCTATGCATAAGAGAAAGATCTCTTGTCTCTGCATGGAATCGAACCCCGGCTGTCCAGCCCGTAGGTGGCATATATCCAAAACTTCCAAATTAATATAATAATAAGAAGAAGAATAAGACACCATGGTAGGCCAGGAAGGGCTGTTCTGATCATTCACAACCCTTCCAAAATAGTAACAGATGAACATAAAGACCTCCATCTTATACTTGCGTGATTATCAACTTAAAAGTATTTCACAAGGCGATTTCCTAGGCACGTTACAAAAATAAGCGTTAAGTCCAAATGTTACGATGTTGTCTCCAAATGTATCTTCTATGAGCGTAATGGACGTTAACAATTATAGGAGCTAAGTAAAAAAATGTTAGAAATGATTAGTAACTAGGAACTTACGCGGACCTTGGTTTCAAGAAATAATTTAAACCTTGAAATCAAAATATAGCTACAACTTCGGGAATCGCTCTAATGTGACGCAACCATTAGGTCTACCACGCTACTCAGCAATACATCTGTAGCAGGTACACTGCAGGATCACTAGATGCCTTGCCAGATGAGCTCAATATCAGATTATTTCATTAGGATGATTATTATCACGAACTTACCTTTAACAATGTTTAATCTTAACTGTTCTTTCTCCCACGAAGCAAAAGACGCCTTCAGCGCCTCTGTCATTTTTTTGTTGGTGCCGGGAGTAAGAGGCGGCACCTGGGTCGGTATATCTGAAACAAATGCAACACGGCATTCGTCAGTCTTGTTGGTAATGAAATGGCAATTAAACCAGTTCACTGTGAAGCTCCAGCATTCGTGAGCATAGCTGGGCACACACCGACCGTAGTTCGTAGCTTTCACGCGGAGGAAGGTCTCAAGACTTCATATTGAGACAACACACGGAACAGAATAATTGAAAAAAGAGAAAAAGCAATTAAAAGAAATCATAATTCATATCACATGTTCAAAACTTCCGGTTTATTAAAACAGAAGCTACATAAATTACGAGAAGTCGTCGTTCTACCGAAGAAAACATGTTCAGATGCGGTAACAACTTCATAGTTAAGCAATAACATTTATTACAATATTCTCAAGATAATCGCGAGGAAACAGGGGACTAATATAATAATATACCTTTCTTAACAACTTTAGTACACCTCTATGATCAGTTCCACATAATACATTTCATATCAGCAATACGGTAATTTTTGTCTTCTCCTCTATTGTCCAAAAACATAAAAATTAGAATATACAAAACTATAATTTTGCATGTGGTTCTGTATAGGTGTGAAACTTGGTCTTTGACATTAAGAGAGGAACATAGACTGAGGGTGTTTGAGAACAGGGCGTTGAGAATATTTGGACCGAAGAGAGATGAAGTGACAGGAGGTTGGAGAAAACTGCATAATGAGGAGCTTCATAAGTTGTACTCTCCTCCAAGTATAATTAGAATGATCAAGTCAAGGAGGATGAGGTGGGCAGGTCATGTAGCACGAATGGGGAGACGAGGAATGCGTATAGGATATTGGTGGGAAGACCAGAAGGGAAGAATGCGTAGGTGGGTGGACAATATTAGAATGGATCTTAGAGAGATAGGATGGGATGGTATGGATTGGACATATCTGGCTCAGGATAGGGACCAGTGGAGGGCTCTTGTGAGCACGGTAATGTACTTTCGGGTTCCATAAAATGCTGGGAAATTCTTGAGGAGCTGCATAATTGGCGGCTTCTCCAGAAGGGCTCAGCTCCATGAGTAAGTAAGTAAGTAAGTAAGTAAGTAAGTAATACGGTAATTTAACGAAACACGTTACTGTGGAAGCAAACTGCTAAATGTCGACGTGAAAATTCATACAAACTTATTCATGTGTTACTTACAAACAAGGTGCAGGTGTTCAACTGCTACATTGCGACTTTCAATTTCACGTTGTGTGGAACCATAGGATATGAAAGAAAGAATTCTTAATGTTCTGTACTGTGGAAAATATCACCACCTTCACAACACTGGGGAAAATCACAATTACAGCTACAGCAGTTACTAACAGTATTTAAGTATGTACGACACATCATGTTTTATTACGCTTCGGTTCAGAAGACAGTTGAAACTAACGTGAATATGAATGCGTAATTTGGAAGGTTGAGATATTTAAGCGTAGGGAGCTTCATCAATTCTCAGTAACATTTAAATCCGATGAACAACGCAGCCGTCCTTCAGAAAATTAACAAGTTCCGTATGAGTTTCATGTAGCCTCCACGCCATTTATGAACGCTCAAATTTTGTTCTACACCATTCAGTATCAAATTTCATGTAAAATACATGAGCTACCAAAAGTAGAGAGATTCAGAAGTTAGATGTGTAAGCTACTGCAGTGGAAAGCAGGCCTACACACAAATTTACTACCTCAGCCAATGTGATAAGGAGCGGAAACTTAAAAAAAAAAAATTGGTTATTTCAGAGGTCAGGAGAGGCCAGCTTTATAATAGTCACTTCAGTTGTGTCAACATCAGTGTGTGTTTCAAGATAAGTTCTGAAGGTGCTTCAAGGTGTGTGCGTGTGTGGGAAAGTGACCAGTCTGATAATGAAATTCACCCCGTCTGCATGTTGCGCAACCCCAATCAGGCTCATGAATACAAGAGCAGAGGGGGCAGGTGTGGGTGGCTGACCCATGTCAAGGCACAGCACCTGTTATTAACGTTATTACATTGCGAGCGTTTGCCTTCTTTTGTGCTGCAACCATGTTTTCTGTCCTTGACTCACTACACAGACATGGAAACAATTTTTAAGTGCACCGATGCGTCACAAAGCACCTCCTACAGTTCTGAACGCTTCAGCCAGTATAGACGCTCACAAAAGAAAAAAGAAAAATCACATGTGAACACTTTCGGCAAATTACAGGCACTGAGAACCCCGAAAAACATATCACCCACATCTGAACATCTCAACAGGTCACAGCTGTATACAAACCGCCAGCCACACCACACGTTACATCTGAACATCTGAACAGGTCATGGCTGTATACAAATCGCTACATCTGAACACTCCGACAATTTTACTCGTAGTTCTACGCTAACCCAAGGGAGATTCGGCTCCACAGAAGCAAGGGTTATAGTGGATTGATACAAGTAAAACTGAAATGTTGTTAACTTTTAGAGTAGACGTTACATATTAAATTTAACTAAAATCAGCAAAACATTTCAGACATGAAACAAATAGACGGACAGTCAGAGAGACGAGGACACAAACACGATACACGTGTTATCCACCCTTGTTAGAATTCAGGTCGATCAGCTGTGCCGAGGAGTTTCGTAATTTTTAATCCCCTTCGAGAACGATATCTTACCTCAAAATGAAAGCCGCGCCATAGCTCAAGCGGTTAGTCGCTGGCTTCCCACCGCGGCGGCTCGGGTTCGATCCCGGGGTCTGGTCAAGTGGGATTTGTGGTGGACAAAGTAGCGCTGGGGCAGGTTTTCTCCGAGTATTTCGGTTTCCCCTGCCAATCTTCATTCCACCAATTGCTCCACAATCACCTTCACCTATCATCTGGGGCTGGTACAATAGGCCAGAAGTGGATGCAGTACAAGGAACTTAGTCCCACCCCACTAGCAATAAAAAAAGTAGCTCAAAATGAGGCAGGGCTATTTCCTCCAATTCTGTATCTGATTACAGTCCATTTCGTTGCTACATTTCTTGGTGACGTAACAAAGCGTTTTTGCCTGCACAAATTACACACGGTCAAGCGGCGGGAAGGCGGGAAAAGATGAACATGGAAGGAAGCCACATATTTTAACACTGATAAAAACAAAGTTTGGACTGTTTTTCACGTCATCCTAACAATCCATATACAATATGGGAATCGTCTTATGGTAAGGGAAGAAACCCGGACATGGACGCGTGGACATTCGTGTTTGTAACTGCACTTCGTAGACTGAAATCACTACTGCGGCAGAGAGCAGGTGATGTGCGATTTCTGACGGATGATGAGGCTACTCAGAGGTCAGGGTCCATGTCTATTGTTTCCTCAGTAGGTGACGAACCACGGTAATTATCAGCGAGCCAGGTGCTACCAGTGGAGAACTTCATTACGTATAGGAACTGGACTGTTTTCTTCCGTCGTTTCGACTTCAATTAATGACACAAAAGGAAACAAAAATATAGGAACAAAGAAATTAAATTAATTGGGTGATTCTCCAATTCCACAGTTAAATATTGCCCCAGCAAGAGACTGAACTCATGCAGACCTGGAGACAACTGTACCACTAAGAGTGCATACAGAAAACGACGCAAGTTCCAGCAAACGCATGGTCTTGTGATCGAAAAATATTACAAACGAACACGAATAAGACATAACAAATTGGGACGAGATGGAGGTGGAGTAGTTTTAAAATAGAGAAACAAGCAAAGGTTATTTAGCAGTGCTGTATTTCATCCTGGGATTATTTAACTCTCTTTTCCGCTATGGTTTCTTGTTCAGATCTATCGAAAATGAACACGGAAATGAAGATGTTAAAGAGGAAAGCCGGCCGGTCACGGTAGCCGAGCGGTCTAAGGCGTGCACTGTCTTCGTTCGCTCGGAAGCCGGGATCGTGGGTTCGAATCCCACTCTGGGCATGGATGTTTGTGTGCGTTTTTCTGTGTTTGTCTACAGGTAGAGGCCTTGCGACGAGCTGATCACTCGCCCAGGGAGTCCTACCGTATGTGTAAGATCTAGTAAACCGAAGTGAAACGGAGAGTTTCATGGAGGTACGCCTAGGCCCAAATTGGGGCTGTAGCGCCACAGAAAAAAAAAGAGGAAAGCCCGACACTTCAGATTAATGAAAAATATTTCATATTTTCATTATAAATATTTCATAAAAAATATTGGTAGTTGGTATTATGACGATGTAGCACAGAAACAAATTTACCATTAAGGAATATATTTTTCATTCTGGCAGTAGGGCGAAGTATATATTCCATAAACTTGGGCCTACTGAAGAAACCCAATCCTAAACTGATCTTAAGTGGGATCAATATGTGAACTAGCTTAGTAAAAACATTTAAATAATTTCAGCTCTAATAAGAAATCCATTAAATAACAACATATCCTTTCCAGACTACTATTCGGGCAGAACCAACTACATAATATGAAGAGTATGTGGACAGGTATTCTTCCTTAAAGATGATAATGAACAACAAAAAAAGGTAAAGCTACTCCTGTAAGAGGCTGTGAAGGCCCATAGAGTTCTGAGGCTCCCACATTTTCTAGACAATCGGCTCACAGATGGCGGCAATGTTGTGAGCCTTACGTGCCGGCTGCCCTTTACCCTCCATGAAGATTCCTGGTACTCATTTCTGTTAAGAGGCTGGGTCGACCCCAGGGCCATAGTGGGCTGAAAGAGACGAATTGAAAAAATCCACCTCATCCGGGACTCGAACAGATGACCTTCCGGGTTGTAGCATAGTGTCTCAACCAACTACGCTACCGTGTGTCCCATAACGAACTGTATGTGGTTTGATATAATTTTCTTTATAAAACCTCCCCTGCGAATTAAATCTCTCACACCTTACGGATCTTGTCACGTATAGTGGGGTGCGGAGGGGGAACCTCCTATCTCGGTGTCAAGTTCACCTCCACTTGGTGCATCCGGTAGCCTGTATATGCACAACGCTCTGGCGCCCAACGTATGTTGGCTTACCAATTACGCATGGGGTGCAGGAAATGCCACTACTTCTGTTTTCAGCCTGTTTCAAGTTATG